GGAGAAAGGGACCACTAAATCGATGACTACAGAAGAAATATTATTATATTTGTAGATAATATTTGATTAGAAGTAACCCTGTCTTAATAGCACAAAGGCATTCCAATAATAGTCATGTTAAATACAAGAGCAGCTCCACATCAAAATCCAATCGGAAAAATGATAAAGGAAAAGTCTAGTAGGATTCAGCACATGATACAACCCCCTTCACAGGAAGGACGTATATATGATTGTCTTCCAGTGATGCCCACAATCCTCCATGATTATTTCAAGGGCTACTATTGACGAATTCGAATTAGCTTATGTGCTCCTTTTATTTTGTTTTGTTTTTTTAAGATATTAGAGATATTATTTGGCTTATTAGGAATCAGTAGCTGTAATCTCATTAAAGAATAAAGGAATTATATCTAATTCCTCCAGAAATGCATACATATGTAGATATACAGGCTAACTCACTTACTGTATTGATAGTTATTTTTTAGTAAAAGCTAAAATCAAAGAATTATAAAGGCGAATTCATTTTGATACGTAAGATCGGTTATCATCACTCCCTAAAGATTCATCACGACCCAATAAGAAAGCCACAACCGGCCGCTAATCCTAAGGCCTACAGAAAGGAAACAAATGATGACCTCTGTCAGGGCCACCCCCACAGGCATTAGCCAGAATCAATTCAGTCGTCAGGATCACATTCAACAACTAAAGACGGAGGAGTAGCCATTGAAACAGGAAAATTACAGATCAGGGCAAGCGAGAATATCTCGGCAATACTACAATTAAAAAACGCCCCCAAGAGTCCGTCTTGGATGAAAGCCAACAAGAAATGACCTAAGACAGGCTAAATATGAAACAGAGCCATACCCACTAAGGAGTAGGGTATCACGCCTCGAAACTGAGAACTAAAGGGGGTTACATATACCACATAGCCAAACAGGTGAGTCAAATGAAAAGACTACTCAAAACTACACAGAACAGGTTATAGAAGAACAAGTAAAAGCGACCTAAGGCCTTAAAGCAAATAGAGGAACCGTAAAGAAAAGAACCTAAAGGTAAGGGAACTGAGCCAACACAGAAGCTTTAAGCCTAAGAATTATGGGACCGACTAATAAGAAGAGAGCAGAGAGGACGACTACCAAAAACCCCAATCTTAAAAGGCAAGGTATGGACCCTAAGGCTTAAAGTGTGTATAGTAACTGTTGACGCCTAAATATTAAGAAGGAACCCGTAGCTTCAGAACCACACACATCGAAAAAAGAAAAATAGGCCTAAACACCTCGGAATAGATCCTAAAGCTAAAACCTGACAAGTACATAATAACAGGACAAGTCTAGGATGCCAAGTCGGAAACCTTACAAACTCCCCAAGGAAACAGGAAGAGTACGGCCTATAGACTCTAACCCCCAACCGACTCTCTGAAAGAATAAGGAGTGGGAACAACACCCTCACCTCGGGCAGCGCCGAAATACCCCGTAATCCCTGAGAGAAAAAGACTAAATGGAAACCACTGGAATCTGAGGATTAGCCCCTTTAACGAGATCCCTAGGAAATAAAGCCTAAGCCATAACACCAAAACGCACTCTGACCAGCACACCCCCACTCCCTGATAAAGAACCCCAAAACTTAAGCAATATCCCCCTAAGCCAGGACCCTAGAAAATGACAACAAACTCCCACAACTCCCCCCGGCACCCCCATTCTGACCCCTCGAAACTAAATCACCAGGCGTTGAAGCCCAGAAGCTACCCCACCGAACTCCAAATCGACCCAGATAGAGAATAAGGAGCGAGACATAACCAATAAAAGAGCCACTCCCGACCTTACAGCAATGTCTATGAACTCTACATCCATGAGAGACGAGACCTAACCCATGAATCCAGATCCCTGCCTGTAGTCGCTAAAACTAGATGCCTCTACTCCCAGCATTAAGAATTAGACCCAGGGGCCCCAGGCCCCCCCCGCCCCACCTAGACTATAACCCCCCAACCTAAACTGTACGCAAACAGAGGAATAGGAGGAATAAGTGAAATGGGACATCTAACTCCTAAGAACAGAAGAGGAAACCCCCAGCCTAAAAATTGAGGATCCAGGGCCAGAACCAAATCAGATACCCGGTCACGAGTGAACCCTAACCGGAACAGCAGTAATAGTCAAAGATGCCCTCTGACCAGTAACACCGAGCAAATAGAAAATAAGTCAAAACACGTGGACTTAGTCCATCAGCAGTAGGACATGACCCCTGAAATGTGAAACCTAAGGGCTGGACACTAAGACAATGAACCATCATCAGTGAAAACTGAACAGTGAAGCGAAAAAAACCAGCACTGAGAACTAGAACGTGACCCTTCCTCACGGAAACCGGACTAAGAAACATTAAGGCAACAAAAGTACAACATAAGAAGAAACCCCGGAGCCTTAGACCCTAAAATCTCAACCCGAAACCCTGGAACCATAAACCGTGGACCCTAAAGCCTGAACCCTGAACCCTAAACCCAAAACCTGAACCCTAAACACTGAACCCTCAACCCTAAACCCTGAACCGTAACTCCTGAAACTTGAACCCTAAACCCTAAAGCCTGAACCCTCAACCCTAAACCCTGGACCCTAAATCTGAACATTGAACCCTAAATCTAAACCCTGAAGCTTAAACTGTGAAACCTAGACCCTTAATCCAAACCCTAAAACTAGACGCTGAATCCTAAACCTAAGGCCTAAAAAGTGATCCTAGACCATAAACCTTGAAACCTAGACCTTGGACGTTAGACCCAGAACCGTAAACCTAAGACGTGAAGCCAGGACCTAAAACAAGAATTGTAAAACTCACGCCCGAACCCCGCAGACTAGACCCTCCCCTCCAAATCCTAAATGCCCAATCCTAATCCTAAAACTATTCTCTCTCCTTTAACCATACACCCTACCCCCCAATCCTGAAACTCTAACCCGAAACCGGAAACCTAGACCTAAACCCCTGAGTCTTAAACCTGAACCTGAACCCTGCAACTAAGTCCTGACCGAAACGTTAGAATCATCAGACTCACTTCTGACCCAGAATCCTGACACCGCGTCCTCAGATTCAAGTGGTCAAGGGTCAAATCCTACAGGACCCCTAAATCTTAGAACGTAACGTCTGGCGACATCTTGGCCTTCCCGGGGTGGGTCTCTTTTGACTCAGAACCATGACCCACAAGGGGGATCCGTATCCAGCCTCGACTTATTGAATCATCCCCAATGGGAAGGGCTCATATACCAAACAGCCCGAGGAAGGCTATTGAAGACAATCTTAATGATTCATCTCACACCCAACTCCACCGGACCTGTAATGTCCTCCTCCGCATGCCTCATCTGTCTACCTCTGTCCGTGTAATGCATTAATTCCTGTCCACCTGACGTTCCCTGCCTACTGTCTAGGTTGGGTCTGCTGTGACGATTCGTTCCGTTCAGGGTCACTCCGGCCTGATGGGGATAGTCTTCCTCTGCTTGGTCTGGGGTGAGTCCCCCCAAGCCTTCTACGTAGGTCCTCCTTGTATAGCCTACCCATTTCGGGCTGATCAGTCGTGTCCTGGGCGTGCCCCCCGCTCGTCTATACTTTATCCTCCAGAGTCCATAAATTCCGGCTGCTCCCAATATCATTGCTCCCACAAAACCAACAACTGTCCCAGTCAATTCCTTACTTCGTCGACTGGGGGGTAACAATGACCCATACCCGTGTTCGACAAAGTCTTCCCCAGGCTTCTCCTGGGGTTGGCTACCCTGCCCGTGCTTCCATACGCCGACTTTTTGGGACTCTTTTGTCTCAGTCTGGTGCAGTCCACTGTTTGCTGGTATCCTCGCGAGGTGATCCTGTTCTGCTTGTTGGTCCTTCATAGTTGCTGGAGCGAGAAGGGACTGGTCTGAGGTATGTTGGGCTATATACGCCCCTTGTGTTTGTCCTTTGTCTGTTGTTCCCCTAGAGGCGTCTGTGTCTTCTGACGGTACCTCCCTTGCCTCTTTGGCTGATGGCTGTGGGGGTTTCCTATTCTTCGACGCATCTTGAAGTTGCCTTCCATCTTCAATCGGTGAAGTTTCTGCTCGTTCGGGGGGATCCTTATCAGGGATTTTCTTGCGATCTGTCCCCCTGCTTGGTCTATAGAGGAGATGTGCCTTGTTGTTACCCTCATATGGCAGTTTGGGGTTACATTCTAGTCTCTTTTCTCTCACTCGGCAATATAGGATTGCTTGTTCGTTCGAAAGCTGGGGCAGGTCCTTTACCCAATTATTTAACTGATATGGCCCACAGAGGGGGCATAATCTCGTCAAAGCGTCATAAATACTCAGGACTAGCGTCAGCACGGAGGTTCTGTCTTGTTCAGACGCTATGGGAGATCCCTTTTCTGTCACCACGGATCCTGCTCGTGTCCCGTCTGTGTTTCCTGGGTCGTTCCGCTGGTGGTGGTCTAAACTAATGGCTCTCAGGAAGTTACTACAGGCGTCTGGCAGTTGGTTCCAGGGGGGTTGGTGGTCGTGTTCCTGTTCCTCCAAGCCCTTTATTATACAGATGAGAGCTCCCATCCATTCCGTCAACGCATCGCCCCCTTGACAGATTTTTCTCCTCAAGAGGCTCTGCCAATCTGGAAACTTACTCGACTTTAGGCTTCCGCCAGACTCCTCCAGGAAATAAGGTAACTCTCCTAATGCCTTGTCATCCTTCAGCCCGTCTATTATATCAGTTACTATCCTGTCCCAGGGTGGGATTGTGCCGTTAAATTGCGAGTGACCGCAGTCCTCTAGGGGAGTCTTTCTTAGGGCTCGGTTATATAATTCTTTTAGCTCCTTGTCCTTTTCTTCTTTGACGTAGTGATCTAACCATCCCATCCATTTCGTCGATTCGTTTTCCTCCACCTCTGTCATTCCATCTTGTGCGTTTCTAGTTCCTTGACAATATTTTTCCATGCCAGCCGTGCTCCTTCCTAGCCAAGGGTGGGGCCTCCAGCGACACAGTTGCATGGTTGTTTCGGGATGTCCAGTCCCTTCTTATTGCGGGTACCTCGCTCACTATCCCTTCCTCATGTATCAGTTTTCTCGTCCGTTTTCTAACCTTCCCTACTTCTGTCTGACCTTCCTCGTCTTTCTTATGACTTTCTACGTTCTATGTTGCTTCACCTTAGTCCTTTCTGATTCTCGAAGCTGCCCGCCCTTGGATTTGACCGTTGTTTTTGATCCTGTTGCCCCTGGTCGTGGTCCATTATCTCACCCCTCCCTCCGCTAGGGCTGCGGGTGCTCGGCAGCCGTATCCGGCCTAACCTGGATTGGTCCTCTATCCTCCTCCACGTTACCTTCCTGGAGCTCCGTTGTCCATTGTACCCCGGCCCGGAGGAGTGGAACTACTCCTTCCCTCAGGGTGCCCCTCTGGTCTTCCTTCTTTATCCTTTCCTGAAATTCTGCTACCCCCCCTGGATTATTTGCCTCTGTTCCTCTTCACTCGATCCCTATACGTGAACTTTCGGCCTGTCCTCTCCTATTTGTATGCTCAGCTTCCACTCCCTCCGTGGGGATCGGCTTGGAAACCCTCGTAATCTTCCTCCTGTCCCCTTCAGGCTAGCCATTTAGGGGTCCTTGTTGCCGTTTTCCTTCTTCTTTGGGTCTCTCCTCATCCATGAAACTCTCTGACTGAGTCATCCTCTCTTCCTCTCATTGCTTCCGAAGTCTTCCACGTTGATTTTTCCTGCTTACCTGTCATTTAACCCTTCCTCTTGGGAGTCCATTAGTCCCTTTGTGTTCTGGAGAGCGTCCCTGTTATCTTGTCCTCCCTTAGATTAGCGTCATCAGTCCTCATCATCCTGACTCTGTCGACTTTACCCTTCTCCTCCCCTTGGCGTTGGGGAGTTGCCTCCTGAGGGTCCTTGGGAGTTGCTGCCTTTTTGTTTCGATCCTTACCTTTTGATTTTCCTTATCTCTCTGACTAACATCGTCTCTCCTCAATTTCTATCATCCTTCGCTTTTACCTCTCGTGCTGGTGCTGCGTCCCCTCCTGAGATAATTCATCCATCTCTTCAGTCAGAAGGTTTCTTGACTAGTGAGCTCCTTTTTTACTCTCGTTCGCGATTCGCTCCTGGAAGAACTTGTCCGTTCTATCTCATGCCTGATGCCTTCCTCCTGACCTTACTCCATAGATTCGAATTTCTGCTGTCTCTTCTGAGATTATTCTGCGTCTTTGGGTCTGATTGTCTCCTTGCGCCTTCACCTGTTGCTATTCGTCCTTTCCTAGTCGTCTGTCCAAGGTGTCTTGAGCTTGTCGTCACCAGGAGTGTTGCTCTGGTTGATTCTCTTGTGGTGGGTGAGGTTCCTTCGATTCGAAGTTGTTTATCCTGTGCTCCGGTTCTCCCACGCCTCATATTGATCCTCCCTCGAGATTTTGTCTTCCTCAGATTAATATCTGGTGTGTTGGGTTGAGTGGGTTTGTTCTTCTTCTAAGAGTTGCCTGTTGCTGCCGTGTTCTGCTGATATTTCCTGTAGTATTCCATCTCAGTTATTATCAGACTCCAGCTGTCCTACTCCCTACTTCGAGTGAGATTGGGTACTCCTGCTCTCAACGATTTCATTCAGGAACTGCCCGTCCTCCCTTTACGGTGAGGACGTCTGTTGTTCTGTCCCTATATACTCCCTCCTATGGCTCTTTCCTGGTCCGGGAGTTGACTGGCTCATCTGCTGTTGTCCGGCTTCTGGATCAAGTCGGTCAGTTCTGGGGCATCTTCGTTTGGGGAGTCCTTGATTGGGACATCTGGAGCTATTGATCCTTTGTTGGCTGGCTTGGAGAATAGTGCCTATTCTGCGTTCCTGCTCCTTGTTGCTTTCTTCGAGATTTTCGTCCTTCTCCTTTATCTTATGAGATAGTCGATTTATTAGCTATCCTGTTTGATCGCTTCGGTCGGTCCTTGTTTTAACGGCCATATAACCTTACCTTTGAGCCTATTTCGTCGAGGTTTGCGCCGTGAGTAGCTTCCGGCTTCATGATCCTTCGCTTTCCTCCATCCCATGTTCTTTGGGTGTGGCTTTGGGTTGGAGGAAAGTGTCTTCTAGGATTTTTCCTGGGAGGAATTTGGCCGCGTTCTTAATGTTCTTATTTCGCGATGTGTCTCTGCTTCTACCCTATTCTTTGGCTTCTGGCGGTATCATCTTCTTGAAGTAAGGTTTCCCTTTGTTGTAAAATCTGATCTTGTCGTTGGAGTCCGCTTTAGAGGTGTTCAAAAATCTGAGACTTCGTTCTTCAGATTTATTTAAAGCTACCCACTCCTCTTATTTTCTTTATCCCTAGGATTTTGGAGAGGGCGGGCTTATACCTCCCGTTATTTGCCTTCATTTGGCCGAAGCCCCATTCTGAAATAGATCTGCTCCTTCTCCTCCTATCATGGGGTCACGCCCAGGGGGGTCCTCCTGCTCTAGCTGCTTCATCTTCAGATTTCATAGCTCCCCTTCTGCCCCTGGATCCTTCAGCCTCCTGAGGGAAAGGACTATTCACTCCCCGTCTGGGGTCCTTCTTAGTTTGTCCCTCCAGTTTTGGTATTTCTTCTCTCTACCCTCCAGATTAACTCTATCAAGACTCGGCTGAGGTTTCAATGTCTCCCCTTACGTGGGTTCGATGCTCTGTCCTGGCCCGGGATCGGGTGTTTCGTGGTTTTTTTAGTTCCCTCTCGATGAGGTCCCAGAGAATCAAGTGGTCATGGATCAGTCCTTGTTATTCTTCTGCTTTGATGGTCCAGCTTTAGTCTCGAGCTTTCTGTTTGTTTTGCCTTTCTGACTCGGGAGGGTTTTTCTCCGTTTCCTCTTCCTGTTTGGGATCTTGCTCGGGGTCTGTCTTTTCAGTGCATCTTTTCTTCTTCCTATGTCGCTACTAAGTCTTAAAATTGCACACTAATATTTCTAAAAACGGCTGTTAATTTCTGGGATTGATTTATCCTTGGGAGGGAATTATCGGCTTGTCCCTCCGTGTCCTTGACTTGTCTGTTGACTTGCTGTTATTGTCTGAAAGAGGGGGGTACTGCCCTTCGCCGAAACGCTCTTCGAGGGAGTCGTTTTACTGTTTAGGTCGTACTGGGGTTAAGTCTTTGGGATATTACCTCTTCATAATATTGGGGTTGCTTGGGGGAGCCTTAATCAGCTTTTCTCTGATGTATCAGTATTCGACTTGACCTTTTTGGTGCCATTAATAGTCTTTCTTATGTCGTGAGGTTCTGTTGAGTGGATTCTATTCTGGATTTTACACCTATTGAAGGTGATACGGGGACTTTTTCTTACGGTCCAGGTACGCTTGGATTGTTACTTACTTTTTGGGACGTCCCCTGTTGTGCTGCTGCCACTTCGGTGTATTGCGGCGCCCATCTTTCCTGTTGGGTCCTGACTTCTTTAGTTGGATTCGTCGGGGGTATTTACTGCTGCTCCGGAGAGTCCTGCCCTTCTGTTGGTACGCTCTAGTTGTAGCTTGGTCGAGTCAGTATTTTGGCACTTTTGAGAGAGTCTTCGAGATTAGACTGTTTGGGACACTTCTTGTATGCCTTGGAGTTATGGGTTTACTGATTCCCTTTCCCGGGAATGAAGACCCAGATTGGTCATGAAGTTCTGCAGATCTACTTTATGTGGCAGGATCCATGTTCCCTAAGTCTCCTCTCTGCTTATGATCCTAGGGATGTGCTTCGTTAAACGCCCTGTCTCGGGTTTTGGGGAGTGTTTTCCTATCTGATGTTGGTTTACTGTGATTATTTCCCTTGACTGATCCTTACTTTTACCTATTCATAAGCATGAGCCTTTTGTTCTCCTTTGAAGCTTTGGTTCAGTCTATTTGACCTTCTTGTTTTTTTCCTCTTTTTGGGGTTTAGGATGTTTACTTTATTAGAATTTTTATGGAATAGGGAGTGTTCCTTCTGTTCTATATTTGCGTGGAGCTCCTTGGCTGAGGAGGGGAATGGTTGGAGGTGCTCGTTATGGTGTGGAGAGGCCCCTTGGTTTCACTTTTGGACTTGTATGTTCCTCCTTTTGAGAGAAAGGTTCTCCTGAGACTCCTGCTTTAGTGCTCTAGTTGAATTTTGTCCTGGGGAGAGGTTTGGATGAGTTACTCAGTCTTCCGATATTTTGTGGGTATTAGGAGATTCGGATGCTTCATTGTACGCTTGTCATCCCTACCCTCTTTTGATTAGTGGATAGTCCTTCCCCTGGGGGGATTTGTTACTTTTTTACTAGGACTACTCAACGTCTGGCCACGTCTATCTGATAATTGTTGACTTTTATGTTGGCTAGTTATTATGCTTCGATTCTATTCGGCCTGCTCTTTTTTGTTTTGTTTGGGCGAGTTGGGAATTTGCTCGTTGAACTCCGGCTTGTGCTTAGGATCGGGAGACTCCTATTTCTATTCTTTCCCGATTTCTTAGGTCTCGGGGCTGCAGTTCATTCATTCAACCTTAGATATTATTAAGGATTTATCCGTTCCTCTACCTTTATGGTACCTCCTGATAGTGGATATGGTTTTCATTATGTCTGACAAATAGGGGTTGAGTTATCCTTTACTTCGGTCGAGGCGGTGATTCTTCCTGTAAGGATTACTTTGGTATGTTGTTTATTTGGTCTCTTGTGATAGGAGCCCTACATTTTTTGTTCCCGTTAGTTGTGACCCTTTCTCTGGGGGATTTTGTTCTGCGGTGATGGGATTCGGTTTTGTTGATTATGTGGATTGAGATATTAAAGTCGCTATTACTTTGACACGTGATTTTCTTATTTTGGGGGCATCTGTAAGACACTGCTGCTGGTATCTTCCTCTGGATCATGAACAATAAATTGACGCTAGACCCTATAATTATTAACCTGCTTTTAACCCGATCTTACCTTTTTGGTCCTCATGATTTGTTATTTGTTTGTCATATGGGGGGAGGGATATATCAATTCCACTTATTCTTGAAACTTGTCTAATAAGTTGTGACTTATAATTTCATGGTTTACCAGTTGGTATCATATATCCGTTGGATTCTTATGTCTGTTCATTTCGTTTTGATTGTTGGGGGGCGGCTCCTGAGTTCTAGCGCTGCTTAATTTTCTGATAGTCAGATATCTGGGATTCTTATGATTATAACGAAAAACTCCTATTTAGTAGGCTTGTGGTTACGTGTTGCTCTGAGTTCACCTGACTTGTCCACTAGTGGTAGCTATGATAAGACTAAATACTTAGGGGATATAAGATATCACCTTGTCATTTTTCTAATTGTTCATTTACTTGCTTCCAATAGGTGACTTGGGTTGAGATTATTTATCTTTTATTATTCCCTTTGCTTCTGTGGGGTTGGAGGAAGATATACATTTTTTACCTTCCTGATAGGGGCTTAAGTTTAAGAGTCGTTTCTTTATTACCTAGTTCTGGTTTCTTCTGATATATAAGAATCCTTAACCAGTCCATTTATTCTTCCGTATTTTTTGTTTGCATTATATTTAATAGTATTATATAGATGACGTTGTTTGGCTATTTGGTAGTTGCATATTTTCCTAATCAGACATGCTGTGGAGGAGTATAAGTTTGCCTGCTTATTGTTGTTGCAGTTTTCTTATTCGTATTATTATATGGAGAATATTCGACTTGGATATCATTTCTGCTTATATTTCTTGGATTTTTTGTCTAATCCTTAATACTATATAGTTTAATTCATAGCTTCCTTGATTATTGTTACTATAATTTTGACTGTTCACCTCTCAAGGAGCTTATTCTCTTGGACCTCTTGCTCTTCTGAATTCTGTTGGATTTAATAATCAGTCGTTAATATGACAAATAATTTAACATATCTTCAGTTTCTTCTTAGAGAGGTAATAATCATTCTTTTGTTCCTAAATTGCATTCATTGATATCTAGCAGTTATGGAATAAATATATTTATCACAAATCCTTAATATAGTATAAGATTAGGCAAAAGAACTATACAGACTAGTTAACATATAAGGTGAAGTGACTGCTGTACACCGGCTGTAAAAATTATTTAACTATTAGAACCTTTATGCTTAAGTTGTGCTCTATTGCTTCTGTTTAATTAGATTTTGAAAACGTAACATATTCAATAAAAAACCTACAATTTCCC